ACCACAAAGAAAAAAAAATGGTTAAAGGGAAAATCAGGCCAAACATATGGCTCAAAGAGAGAGAACGAGAGCAAGAGAGACCACAGTCACGCTGCTGGGGAACAATAGAAGCCTTTCACATGAACTTGTATAAGCATTGATGACAAGATGCCACAAAGGATGAGGGTGACATATCAAAGAACATGACCACCAGTACCGATAGTCCATCATGGCAGAAGAGGAGATCCGCGTTCATCGGGGAGGTCTCGCTTGGCGAAGGGAGTCGGGAGTGTGTGTGTGTGTGGCGCTCGGGCGGGGTGTGTGTACGAGGGTTCTTCGAGTCCAGACATGAAAAGGAATTCTTTCATCATTGCTAATCTGCAAAACATAAACATTAGAGCATCCACACAGTCTGTGAATCTTTCTCTGTGTGTTTCGGGTCCTCCACCCTGTGGATTGTGGTTAGGGATGTGGGAGCCTGTGCTTGTAAGTGTGCGTGAGTAGCTCCGACTGTTTGTTTATGCTTGCCAGAGTCATTGTAAGTGCACAGATCGAAATCCGTTAGGTCTCGAGGCCAGATTGGAGGAAGGAGATGTGAGTAATTGTCAGGAGTTTGGGAGTCGTCGAACGCAAAGTGCAAAGAACGCTTGTTGTCACTGAATGCGGTTCTTTTGTATTTGTGTTCTCGAAGAACATTTCAATGCTCAGAATTCGATTGGGCGAAATAATCAATAATCAAGTTCTTAAGAATGATTATCATTATTGAAAGACTTATAGACTTATTTAAATGCTTCTGATTTGCCACTGTCAACACCATTAACAATTATCATCCGTTAGGTTTATGGACATATCCTTTAACTCTGAGACACAATATAATCCAATGCAAAATTCAAAATTTGGGTAAACATCTGTAAAAAAAACAACAACAAAAAAACACTATTGGCTGAGTCAATGCTGTTATGGTCATCTAGGCACACCAACGAACATTGACTTTACCTAACAAATCCATTTGGTGCTGAAAGTTACATGCTTCGCCCTTTGGGTATGAATTTTGTCACCTAAAATTACTTTTAAAATTTTTTAAAAAAGAGACAATTGCGATTTCAATATGAATTTTAAATTCACATTTAGGTCTCTTTTGATCACAGTGATATCTTGGCAAATTTGAGCACAGTTTGAGTGATTTGAAACATTTCATGAGATTATTGGGCACTTTTTCTCAGGATAAGCAGGTTTTAACTAATCTAACTCGTCTAGGGCAAACTATTGAGACATTAAGGAGATATTATTGGTAATTCTTCGTTTCTATGAGTTTGTATGTGTATCTGCTCATGTGTGGTTTTTAAATGTGAACTGACACTGCAAAAAACTATTTTATTGAATCTTTTTTTGGATTGTTTTCGAGAAAAAAATATCCAAAAATCCTTAAAACAAGAATTAACTTGAAAAGAAACACTGCATAAGACTTGTTTCATTGCATATATACAAAACCATTCAAAAGTTTGGGGTCATGACATTTAATGCAGATAAGAATGTAAAAAATGTAATTTTAAAGACATTAAAGACATTTATAACATTACAACATTTTTCGTTTTAACTCTCTATTCACTAAAGAATCCTGAAAAAAAAATGTATCATGGTTTCCAAAAAAATATGAAGCAGCACAACAGTTTTCAACATTGATAATAATAATCAGAAATGTTTCTTGAGCATCAAATCATCATATCAGAATGATTTCTGAAGGATCATGTGACACTAAAGACTGGAGTAATGATGCTGAACACAGCATTTTACATCACAGGAATAAATTACATTTTAAATTATATTCAACAAATAGAAAACAGTTATGTTAAATTGTAATAATATTGCCATTTTTACTGTATTTTTGAACAAATAAATGCAGCCTTGGTGAGCAGAAGAGACTTCTTTCAAAAACATTAAGCAATCTTCCTCTAAACTTTTGAATGGTACAGTGACAAAAACATCTATATTAAAGACTTAATATCTTCTACCGTGTAATAAATGTATCTTATAAGGATTTTTAGATGTTTTAACTGGACAGTTACTCATGAAGAATATTATTTTTGCAGTGTTCAAGCGGGTTCATTGTGTGTACAGGCGTGCAGACGTGAAGGCCTGTAGCTACAGGTTTATGACTGTGCTCAGATTAGCCAGAGACAGACATTCATATTCTCAAAATAACTGTCAGTTAGTCATATTTTCATGTCTAGCTCACTATTCGCAAATCATGTATAAAATCACCATAATTGGGTTTAGGCATCAAGTGCGGTGGAAGCGCATTACTAGCCACACTCTAGTAGTCACTCACTGCTCGAGTGGGAACTATCCGTGGAGAATTATCCCTCCCTGAATGATACCATAATTAGTTTTCATAGCACAAATTGAAGTGCAATGTTGTCGCATTGGCCTCAAAAGATTATCTCGGATGCCCGAAACTTTCCATTTCGCTCCCCGGTGCCTTTTGCTTCACATACACACAGACTGTCCTGCCTGCACAGAAGCCAAAACTGGGCGTTTTGGAGCATTTACGAGATAAGCCCAGCCGGTTTACGCCAATGTACCGCCATAATCCAGTTTTCAGCTCCTCTTCCTTTTTCAGACTCCAACTCGGTGGTCACCGCCATTCAGCTGTGTATCTGTGACAGATTAGACCAGATCACCCTGGATTACCTTCACCACACCAACAAGCCCCCGACACCGACCGTGAACCAGGCCGACATTTCCATCTATCCGGCACACGTATGCGCTTTTTAAAAAGGCAAATGTAGATGCTTCCTCTCTTGCATCAAACTACAGGACAAAAGAAAGGCATGTGGAATATAGAATGAGACCGAGCGCAGGGTTGGTGGTGGAAGAAGGGAGATAATCCTATTTTGTATGGGATGTATGAGAGACCCTTTTTCACCGTCTGCGCCGTCCGTGGTTATCACCCCCCCCCCATGAGTTTGCTGAGACTACAGGACGAAGGCTGCAGTTTAGCGGGCTAATCCACCCCGAGCTGGGGCATTAAATCTGTCCCTCTATTCACACTTGCCGCTCCAAAGCCACTGTGTACAACATACTGAGCCCTACGCGGTGTCATCTGCTGACTGCAGTATTTAACTCCATTATGAGGGAGTATAATCTCGGCCACACAGTGGACATTCACTAAGGTCTTTACCTCCTAATCCAGGCCAGGAGATGTGAGCATGTGATGTTTGGGAAGTCATATTGTGTGTTGTTTTAGGCTTTTTTGTCATCTAAAGTTGACATTGTAACTTATTTGAGTTAAATAAGATCTTTTTATTTATCTATAGAGCTTCGTAATAATTCTCTGAGGGAAATATGACCTGAAATACAATACAAATCAAGAGGGTTCTGACTCACCATTCTCTGTTGCCTGTTCCATTTCAATGCACAGCGCCCTCAAGTGGAAGACTGTAGAGTAGCACCTAAAACGGATAGATTAATCATGGTATAAAGAATCTGATCTTTTGATAAAGTCTATAATATGCTTCATTGTCCTGCACTTCTTTCTGTGACTTGAGCCTTGACTTAAGCATTTGTTTCCCTGTGTAAGATGAGCAAATGCCAAATAAACTTCTTGAACTTGAACTACTGTACTTATATATCATGTTTGCAGTCTCCACAAAGCTTGAATTCATCATATACAAGCATCAACGTAAAATAAGAGTTGACTGAGGTTTTAGCTGAATTAATCAAATAAAATGTCACAACATAGGTATTTAATGTGTCTTATTGCTTTAAAGGGATAATCCACCCAAAAATGAAAATTCTGTCATCAATTACTCACCCTCATGTTGTTCCAAACCTGTATCTCTTTCTTTCTTCTGTGGAACACAAAAGAAGTGTTGGTAACAGTTTTGGTTCCCAATTCAAACTGTACTTTGGTATAGAAATACTGGAAGTATTCAAACCTCTTCAAAATATCTGCTTTAATGTTACACAAAACCAAGAAAATCATAAAGGTTTGGAATGACATGAGAGTGAGTAACTGATGATAGGATTTTAATTTTTGGGTGGACAAGTCATATTTGATCTGATATTCACCCCAACATCTCTAAGCCAATCGAAACCACTGAATGGTTTTCAGCATGATCAAAATCTTTGGCCAAACGACTTGTGAAAGTTGGCACTTAAATGATATTTCCTTCCTCCCATGGCTGACCATATCACCTGAGCTCAATCTAAATGATCCATATATGATCTATCATATGAATAAGAGATGAATATCATCCCACAGGCAGAGCCGTGAACTCTTATCAGATCTTCTTCTCCACCTCCCTCTATGAAGCTACTGCGGCATCAGCTTCAAACATAACCGAGCTGATGCATTACTTTCAACCTGTATCTGTGAATATAGATATCGGGTCAAAGGTTCAAACATCTTAAAGAGTTTTTCCTGTGCCAGGGTCACTAGTTTGCTTACTGGTGGGTTATATTCATTGTTAAACTGTTCGGGAGCAAGATTATACTGCGTTATGTGAAAAAACAAACCTAAGTCAATTTTTTACTAGGTCCCACTTAGATAAATATACTTTTGTGATCTTGTTAACAACTTATATTTTTATTATGCATTTGCTTTTAAAATAGCTTCAAATCGTGTCTTTTTTCCAATTAGAAAAACCATAATTTCAACAAAACAGTCATTCATAGGCAATTACACTTAAAAAAAATTTTATGGAGCAAAAAGTAAAAGAGCAATAACTTAAAAAACATTATTATTTTTAAGAGGCATATAGCCCCTCCTTGAACTGCCACCTTAACGTGGTGGATGGGGTTTGAGTACCCGAATGACCCTAGGAGCTATGTTGTCTGGGGCTATATGCCCCTGGTAGGGTCTCCCAAGGCAAACAGGTCCTAGGCGACGGGTCTGACTAAGAGCGGTTCAAAATCCCCTTATGATGGACAAACATCCAAGGACCGTGACGTCGCCCGGTATGGCGCAGCCGGGGCCCCACCCTGGAGCCAGGCCCGGGGTTGGGGTTCGTATGCGAGCGCCTGGTGGCCGGGCCTCTCCCCACGGGGTCCGGCCGGGCTCAGCCCGAAGGAGTGACGTGGGACCGCCTTCCCGTGGGCTCACCACCTGCAGGAAGAGCCGTAAGGGGCCGGTGCAGAGAGGATTGGGTGGCAGTCGAAGGCGGGGACCTCGACGACCCGATCCCTGGACACGGAAACTAGCCTTAGGGACGTGGAACATCACCTCGCTGGCGGGGAAGGAGCCTGAGATGGTGCGTGAGGTTGAGAGGTTCCGACTAGAGATAGTCGGGATCACCTCTACGCATGGCTTGGGCTCTGGAACCACACTCCTTGAGAGCGGATGGACTCTTCACCACTCTGGAGTTGCCCATGGTGAGAGGCGACGGGCTGGTGTGGGTTTGCTTATAGCCCCCCAGCTCAGCCGCCATGTGTTGGAGTTTACCCCGGTGAACGAGAGGGTCGTTTCCCTGCGCCTACGGGTCGGGGATAGGTCTCTCACTGTCGTGTGTGCCTACGGGCCAAACGGCAGAGCAGAGTACCCGGCCTTCTTGGGGTCTCTGGGAGGAGTGCTGGAAAGTGCTCCGACTGGGGACTCCGTCGTTCTACTGGGGGACTTCAACGCTCACGTGGGCAGCGACAGTGACACCTGGAGGGGCGTGATTGGGAGGAACGGCCCCCCCGACCTGAACCAGAGCGGTGTTCAGTTATTGGACTTCTGTGCTAGTTACAGTTTGTCCATAACAAACACCATGTTCAAGCATAAGGGTGTCCACCAGTGCACGTGGCACCAGGACGCCCTAGGTCGCAGGTCGATGATCGACTTTGTGGTCGTTTCATCTGACCTGCGGGCGTATGTCTTGGACACTCGGGTGAAGAGAGGGGCGGAGCTGTCAACTGATCACCACCTGGTGGTGAGTTGGATCCGATGGCGGGGGAGGAGGCTGGACAGACTCGGCAGACCCAAGCGTACTGTAAGGGTTTGCTGGGAACGTTTGGCCGAGTCTCCTGTCAGAGAGATCTTCAACTCCCACCTCCGGCGGAGCCACGACCGGATCCCGAGGGAGGCTGGAGATATTGAGTCTGAGTGGACCATGTTCTCCACCTCCATTGTCGAAGCGGCTGCTCGGAGCTGTGGCCGTAAGGTCTCCGGTGCCTGTCGAGGCGGCAATCCCCGAACCCGGTGGTGGACACCGGAAGTAAAGGATGCCGTCAAGCTGAAGAAGGAGTCCTATCGGGCCTGGTTGGCTTGTGGGACTCCTGAGGCAGCTGACAGGTACCGGCAGGCCAAGCGGACTGCAGCCCGGGTGGTTGTGGAGGCAAAAATTCGGGCCTGGGAGGAGTTCGGTGAGGCCATGGAGAAGGACTATCGGCTGGCCTCGAAGAGATTCTGGCCAACTGTCCAGCGCCTCAGGAGAGGGAAACAATGCCCTACCAACGCTGTTTACAGTGGAGGTGGGCGGCTGTTGACCTCAACTGGGGATGTCGTCGGACGGTGGAAGGAATACTTCGAGGATCTCCTCAATCCCGCCGTCACGTCTTCTATTGAGGAAGCAGAGGGCTCAGAGGTGGACTCAGAGGTGGACTTCCTCTATTGAGGAAGCACAGGGCTCAGAGGTGGACTCGTCCATCACCCTAGCTGAGGTCACCGAGGTAGTCAAGAAACTCCTCGGTGGCAAGGCACCGGGGGTGGATGAGATCCGCCCTGAGTACCTCAAGTCTCTGGATGTTGTGGGGCTGTCTTGGCTGACACGCCTCTGCAGCATCGCGTGGCGGTCGGGGACAGTGCCTCTGGGATGGCAAACCCTGAAGGAGCTGAGCCGTAAGGCAAAGCTCTCGATTTACCGGTCAATCTACGTTCCTACTCTCACCTATGGTCATGAGCTTTGGGTCATGACCGAAAGGACAAGATCCCGGATACAGGCGGCCGAAATGAGCCTTCTCCGCAGGGTGGCTGGGTGATCCCTTAGAGATAGGGTGAGAAGCTCGGTCACTCGGGAGGAGCTCAGAGTAGAGCCGCTGCTCCTCCACATCGAGAGGGGTCAGCTGAGGTGGCTCGGGCATCTGTTCCGGATGCCTCCTGGTCGCCTTCCCGGGGAGGTGTTCCGGGCACATCCCACTGGGAGGAGACCCCGGGGAAGACCTAGGACACGCTGGAGAGACTATGTCTCCCGGCTGGCCTGGGAACGCCTCGGTGTCCCCCCGGAAGAGCTGGAGGAAGTGTCCAGGGAGAGGGAAGTCTGGGCATCTCTGCTCAGACTGCTGCCCCCGCGACCCGGCCCCGGATAAGCGGAAGAAGATGGATGGATGGATGGATTTTTAAGAATGATGTTTACTGATTTTCATTTATACCCATCAATATAATAATGCATAAAAAAATCAAATAAAAAGCTGAAATATTTGCCTACATACACTACTGTCAAAAGTTTGGGGTCAGTTTTTATTGATTTTTTTATTTCTAGCTTTTGAAAGAAATGAATACTTTTATTCAGAATGGATTTAATAAACCGGTCAGAAGTGACAGTAAAGACATTTACAATGTTGCAAAATATTTCTATATCAAATAAATGCTGTTCTTTTTAACTCTATATTCAGCATCAAAGAATAATCAAAATATTACGCAGCACAACTGTTTTCAACATTAATATTAATAAGAAATGTTTCTTGAGCAGCAAATCATCATATTAGAATGATTCCGGAAGGATCATGTGACTCTGAAGACTGGAGTAATGGCTGCTAAAAATTCAACTTTACATCACTGGAATAAATTACATTTTCAAATAGAAAAGTTATTTTAATTAAATTGTATTAATATTTCACAATATTACTGGTTTTACTATATTTTTAATCATATAACAGCAGCCTTGGTGTGAGCAGAAGAAATTTCTTTTGAACGATAGTGTAGTTTTACTAAAATATTTCTATGTATAACAAATGCCACCTGAGGTTGCGTCAAAACATTTGACTAGGAGTCGGACCCACCCGGAGAAATATTTGGGAACACGTCTCTGGTCTTTGCTGGATCCAGTGCGGGTGTCTTCGAGACCCCTGGAGCAGACACAAAGGCAAGACGAGCCAGGGTTTACCAACGCCACAACGGTGCGGACTCATTGTTTTCTGCTCTTTTCATCTCCACTCACTCTCTCAAAATATTTAGAGGAATGCTCGGAATAACACAAAGTACTGAGAAACACTCACTCTGTATATTGTTGAAAGGAACTCTGTCTGCAGAACTTTTCTTCAAAGTCTATTTTGTTTTGTTATATTTAGCCTTATCTTTTTTCTCCTGATTTATTTGCATTGCAAAACACAATATGGAGGATATCTCATTGTTCCAGGGACTCAGGTTGGAGATTGGTGGCCATCTGTCCATTTATTTTTCATGCTTCTTATGATTTGTACATGCTGAGACAAAAAAGGAGAAGATTAGTATAGGTTAAACTAGGTTAGGTGAATGAATATAACATAAAAAAAACATTTGTTATATCTTAATGAATAATTAACATTTGAGAAGGTTTACTACTAACGTTAAATCTTAATAAAACAGTTTTTTTTGGGACAGTTCACCCCAAAAATTTAATTCTGTCATCATTTATCTGCCTCATGTCATCCCAAACCTGTTGTACTTTTTCTTCTCTGAAAGTGAAACACAAAAGTAGACATTTTGAACAAAAATTAAAGTCCATCCAAGATGGTGACTTTTTTTTTCTTCAGTTGGACAGTAAAGAAGGTTTTTAGCTGTAATCGTGGTGTTGCTGATTCATACAATGCAAGTCAATAGCTATTAGCTACCATCACTTTGAGGGTCAAAAAACATATGGCAAATCACAAACTAATACCCGTGGCTTCTGACGATTCATTGAGGTCTTATGAAGCGAAACGACCAGTCTGTTCAAGAAACTGAACACTATTTACACCATTATCACCAAATCCACAGCTTTGGCAAACGGTCCAGAGCGCGTTCACAGTCTGGAGCGGAGCGCGAACTTCCTGTCGCATAATGACGCATGCACGGGAGCAAACACTCACGTGAGCTGATGCTGTGTTTGTTTACAAGAGAGAGGGAGGATGCGCATGTTGTATTGTTCCTCAAAATTTTACTTACTTGTGCTTATTGGATGCAGAAACCTATACATGCGTGATCTCAATCAGGAGGAATGACCTTTCACAGATTCTCAACGTTTGACCTCCCGGAGTCCCACGCATACGCCATTATGCGACAGGAAGCTCGTGCTGTGTAGACTGTCGTGAACGCGCTCAAGACCGTTTGCTCATGCTGTGGATTACAGGTAAGTTAATGTTGTAAAAAATGTTCAGTTTCTTGCACAGACCAATCATATCGCTTCATAATACCTCAATGTATCGTCAGGAGACACGGGTATTGATTTTGTTTAGCCTGATGTATGTTTTAATTTTTACTCTCAAAGTGACGGCAGCCATTGACTTGCATTAAATCACCAAGTACCACATTTTCAGCTAAAAACTTCTTTACTGTTCAACTGAAGAAAAAAAGTCACCTACATCTCGGATGGCCTGAGGGTGAGTAAATTAACAGCACACTTTTGGGCAAACAGTGCATTTAAAAAAAAAAAAAGAAAAAAAAAGTTTTTGTTGCAAACCATCCCGGAGTTGAATTGTTTTTTTGTTTAATTTAAACCAAATTAAGCAATAGCTTGCTATAAAATACTCAAAGATAGAGAAGTGTTGTGATCAATGACAGCCATCTGGGCACATTTGGGTAGGGCGTACAGCGTGTGTCTCTCCCTGTTATCTGTTCAATGGCATGTTCCTTGGGACGCTACATTGATTAGGCCCTGAGGGGGCCCTGTAGTGCTGCTCGTCACAGGAGCCAAATGACTGACAGCTCTAATGAAGTGTATAATCATCGGGGCAGAAGAACCGTCAAAGCTGCCAAGACTTCAATCGCTCTACGTGATGACCAAAGAGTCTGTTCGCTCTTCTGCTCAAAGTAAGTGGGCGCCCCGCGGGACCACACGACTCTGTCCCATCTTAGAACATTATTCATGTGGCCGTTTGGTGCAAACCCTCTGATCCGATGGCAGTTAGACTGGGTGATATAGTTTGTAAAAAAAATTATGTCTCGATATTTTTGTAAACCTTGTCATAAAATATATAATCGATATTTATGAATTTGTCTGAAATTGTGATTTCTTTGCAATCAGAGGAACGACGTTTCAACCAAACAACCATTGTCGACAGTCAGATTCAAAATGCTTAAAGCAAGAAGTAAAATACAGTAAAAAGATAGTTAAAAATAAAAACAAGAAATAATTTAATCATTTTCATTATATAATTCGCAATATTTACCGCAATGTATTGTGATTTCCACAAAAATGTATCACGATTTACAAAAAACATTAAGCAGCTCAAATGTTTTTATCATTGATAATGATAAGAAATGTAACTTGAGCATCTTCATATTAGAATGATTTCTGAAGGATCATGTGACACTGAAGACTTGGAGTAATGATGCTGAAAATTCAGCTTTGCATCACAGGAAGAAATTACATTTTAATGTATATTAAAATAGAAACCAGTTATTTTTAATTGTAATAATATTTCAAAATATTACTGTTTTTACTGTATTTTTGAACAAATAAACGTAGCCCTGGTGAGCAGAAGAGACTTCTGACCTACCCCAGCTTCTGAACGGAAACATTCAAAAACAAACAAATCAGAGTTTTGAATCAAATTTATTGTGATGTAAAAAAAAAAAACAAGTTTGAACAGATTCACAGAAACAAAGTGAACTTATATCAACCCTAACACCATTTTGAGTTTGAAATTAGAGATGCTAAGTACGAAACCATCCACGTCTTACTATAAGTCAGCAAAATAATGACACGTCTTTTGGAAACCTGACCACATAAAAAGCTCACTAACTGTTCACGAACATACACTGAACATCTCACTCAACCCTAGACGGCTTTTGTTTCTATACAAGAAAACGTACAACATCCTCTCACATGAAGTTTTACCCATCATCCCCGAGGTGTATATGTGGGCATCTGTTATCTAAACCGAACATAATGCAATAATATGTCTTTTTTTTTCGCATTTGTTTTCCACCCATCAGCTCATTCTATTATGAAAAGGCAGATCTCTTTCCACCCTCTTCCCCCTGCGTGCAACAGAGGGGTCCTGAAGAGCAGTGGAACCTCAGAAGGCTCATTCTCTCTTTGTTCTATTATTCACCAGCCCGGGCTTCAAAACTCACCCGGTTCTCGGCGGGTTTGGAGATCTGCTTTTACAGCATGCGAGAGATGGATCGGAATATACTCGGATAGATCAAGCAAGCAAAATGCAGCGTCTCTGGAGAGGTGTTTCCACCTTGGACCGGGACCCACTCGAAAAGCAGTGCAGTTCTGTGCTCATAAAAGCAGAGCGTCATTAATAAGTTGGAAACTGGTCCCATTCATTTATTAATAAAAAGTTCATCGTTACACCTGATCTAAAATCTTTTGATCTGAGATAAACCATTGTTATTGATCATTTACACAGTCACAAGGCACCAACCATTTTAATTTTAGCATTCGAGAGTATTTGTTTACCCTGAATGCTCATTTGTACCAACACAAACAGTTATTTGTTAGCTAAAGGCGCATGTTTGTTTTTCCTTTTAGACTCTTCAGTGTCCCACGGGCATTAGATACGTTAGTAATAAGGACCAGACAAATGTTTAGCAGAAGCTGCATTAGAAGCTTTGATGTACTTTTAGATTTAGCAAAGTCTACAGCGATGTCTT